TACATAGTTCTCCAAATGAACTGTGGCTAATTATTTCAATACCAGTCATTTTTTTCATATTAAATTTAGTCACTATTATGTATGAAGGCAACATATTTTATAAAATTTGGCTTTGATGTTGCAAGAATGCTCTATAATTTTTTTTGTTAAATGTATAATTAAGCTGTGATTAATGTTTGTAGATTTTATCAGTGGAATTAAAGTTAGTTTTTGGAAGCTGAAACAACACCAAAGTGTTACTCCTCTTTTTTGTGCTATGTTACAAAATAACTGTGGATTTTCTGGAGTGTAGGACAGAGGGAATTTACTCCTAGGGATTGCTGAGGCTGTTAGAAAATATTCCAAAGGACACCATCTAAAAATTGTGAACATGAAATGTCTAGGGATTTACTTAGCATTTCTCTAATATCAACGTTCTAGGTCATTCTTCCAAATCCACTGAGCATATATTTCTTCAGTATTTACTATTAATATTCATTAGCCAATACACTGGAAATATATAATATTTCTTTTTTTCTTTAAACAACTTTATACAATATATTTTGAGAATCTTCTTTCCCCTTCTCTAGGTCCTCTCAGAGCCTTCCCACGTACCTACTCAGACAACTTCATGTTCTTTCTCTCCCCTTTTCTCTCTTTCTCTCTCCTTCCCTCCCCCCTTCCCTCCTTTCCTCCTTCCCTCCTTCCCTCCCTCCCTCCCCCCTCTCAAAAATGAAAAAGACAATAAGAGAAAAAAAATAGTATACACATTCACACACAATAAGAAAAAAATAATCCACCCTCCAAACAGTCTTTTTTGTGTTGGCCAACAACTTCTAGACATAGGGCTGCCATGGTGTGTGGTTGATATATCCAGTGACACAACATTGGAAAAAACTGATTTTCTTTTCTAGCAGTTAACAATGATAAACTGCTTCATGGTTTGGGTAGGCCTTTTGTCATACTTCTAATACAAGCCTCACCCAATAACTCACTGATAATGTATATTCAAATTCCTGTTGAGAAAATTAACATAGGAGATAACACAAGTGTCAGCCATCTCTTCCACACTAGAGTGGAGAATGGTGCAGGTCACAGTAAGGGGCACAGGTATCTGAGTACATGCCTGGGAAGTTCAGAGAAAGAACTACATGCCTGGGAAGTTCAGAGAAAGAACTCACGTGACTAAGCAGCTTAAAGGCAAACTCACCATGGAGCAGAGATGAGATCCCTTGAGTAGTAAGGAGTTCACTGGAGTGGAGCTTGTGGGGCTTCAGAAAAGGAACCCACCAAGCAAAGGCGTGGAAGCAGAGAAGTCTGGGAGTAAATTTAGAAGCAGGGTATAGTTTTGTACAATCGGGGGGCAGTGAAAAGGAAGAGGCTGTGGGTGATGGCAGGGTAAATAGTGTTGGGCAAGGGAGGTTGGCTGGAGAACCATGATGAAGGGATTGAGCTTTGTGTGCCAGATCCTGAGGGTCCTGTCTTATAGGAAGATAATTCAGAAAGCAAAGACAAACATCTCTGTGTGTGTGTGTGTGTGTGTGTGTGTGTGTGTGTGTGTGTTACTATGTTCTTTTGGAGTGGTGTAGCAACTTCACAATGTAAACCAGACAAAGTTTTGCTTTGTTTGGTTTTGGTTTTGTTTTGAAAGTAAGAATCAGCTTAACGTAATTGTCCCTAAGGGATCAGATATACAATAAAATGGGAAAAAGGGAAAAAAGAAGATCATTGTTTTCTTACTGTTGTTCTTACTATTTTTCTTATTATTAGCATAATACATGTAAATTTTAAGTTGATCATATGACACAATTGAATTTGAAGAGATGGTAAAATATTACCGTCATGGCGAAATGGTTTGTGTGTGTGTGTGTGTGTGTGTGTGATTGTTTAAACTGGCTTTAGTTCTACTGCTTTGAACCTCATACTGAAAGAGACAGATGGGGAACAGGGTAATGTATACGGAAGGGGCCACCCTCCTTTAAAACAGGACTGTGTATACACAATCTCACTTAGTAGCACAAAACTCTCCAAACAAGATATTTATTACACATTACATCAACTATATTTAAAACTCTGTGCTAAGCACTACAAAAATTCAACAATTGATATTTTGTAACACATATTTCTTCAATAATCCTTTTTCTATCTTTGAAACATAAGTGAAAACTCAAACAAATAAAAATGAAGGTTTCCTTTGAATACCAATTATCTTTAAGTGGAAACACAAATATTGAGATTTGTAAATACCTCTTTCACTATTTTAGAAATATGAATTTGAATATCTATTGTAGTACCAGGGAGACTTCTCAGAGCAATATAATGTTTGCTTGCATGGTACCAATAGTCTTATAGTTTGGCAAGACATTCTTTCTCCCTCTTTATAAAATACATATCTTACCCATTTTCAATGTGTAGTTCCATTTCCATATTTCTACAATATGCTATTTTTTCTGTGTTATTAGGTATCCTGCAGGCTTATTCTTTCTGTGCCATTTCATAATTCTTAGAGCTAGGGCCATTACCATAAATGCTGCTTCTATTCATTGGGAACTGATTTCTATTATGTATAAAAAAGTTATTTCTCTTCAGTAAGGTGAAAAAAAATACTTAGAAATTAGAAATGAATAACATGCAATATACTTGTGATAGAAGACAAAATTTTCTGAGTATCTAGGTAGGAATGCTGAACAGAGCATACATCAGCTTCCCCATTAAGTAACTTGAAAGTGACTGAAAATATATTTACTAGAAGTCTAGTTCTTTATTTTTATCTGAGTGAGTGTGTACATGAGCATGCATGCATGTGTGTGTGTGTTGTGCACATGTGATATCTGTGGGTGTGAGAGCAGGTACACACATGCCGTAGAGTGCTGGTGGAGGCGTAAAGATAACTCAGGTGTCAGGTCTCAAGTTCTACTTTGTTTGAGACAGGACCTTTTGTTTTCAAGTGTATACATAAGGCTTGCCTGTAAACTTCTGTCCCCATTTCCCATCTCACTGTAGGAGTTCTGAAATTACAGATGTACACTACCAGGCTTGAGTTTACAAAGATTCTTGAGATTCAAGTTCAAGTTCTCAAGATTGTGAGGCAAGATCTTTATCCCATGTTCCATCTCCTCAGCCTAAAAATCTAGTTCTTGACCACTCCAAAAGAAATATAATGATACCTCAGCATTATCCCAGAGGGTACAATACTGACAGAAGTGAAAGGGGCCTGCTAAGAATTCTCTAGTGAAACCCCGAAGCATACTCTTCAATTCACTTGTTAATTCAAAAGTAAATTGTCAGTTATTTTCTTAAGCTGTTTTGTAATCTAAATGTCATTACACAACCAAAACAAAAATCTAATCAGTCTTTCATTCCAAACAACAGTTCACTTACAGCTTGGCTTCATTCCAAACAACAGTTCACTTACAGCTTGGCTTCCCATAAAGTTTACAAAAGGGAGAATAACACAGATTGCTACTACCTCATTTCCAACAGACATAAAACTGTGGCAAATTAGGCCCATCCTGTGAATAGAATCAGTTCATTGTCATTTTGAAAGACATTTTTGTTATTTGCAGGTTTTGTGATTACCATCAATTGATGTGATTTATAAGACACACCTTTAAGGGGCATATTGATGAAGTACAGTCTATTTCCCCACTGGAGTATAGTGCTTAAATAAAATCAGGCTGTAGCAAGTTCTAGTTAAAGCATGGAAATTCATACTGACAGAACCAGAACATGATTGTTTTCATTATGTTTTATAATGGATGCTTTTGGAAACACTCAATCCTCTTAGGAGAAAAGAAATGCGTTGATATTTAAGAAGCAAAAAGACTACTTAGCAGGATCTAGGAAGCATGTGCTGATCTCTGTCTCATCCCTGACCATCATTCATCCTTTCTTTATCTGCTCTATGGGCATCTGTGACACAGGCTGACAGCACAATGCATTTATTACAATTTTGTTTAATTTGCTTGCAAATTCTGATTCTAATGTCAGGCACAAACAAAGCCAATATGTCAAGATACACATGAAAGAAGGTGATTTATTGATTCTTTTATGGAACATGCTGTCCACCAATAATGATAAAACATAGGCTCCCACAGGCAAAGACCCGTACTTCAACCTTCCATAGGACACGTGGTAAAATGAAATTAATGAGGAATCATTTGAAAAGTACAAAGGAGTCCTTTATATCTGGCTCATGGAGCTTTTCCTTCACAATACATTGTAATCTCATTCTCAGTTGTTAAATACTCTCCTTTCCTAACAATTCACTTGCATTTCTTAAAGATGGAAGCCATATTCTTCTTTTTATGGAACAAGATATAACTTCACCATGTTATGTTTATGTTTCATTAGCAGAAGGTTATACACACACACACACACACACACACTCCTTCACATCTTAGTTGTATCACTGAGAATCATTTTAATCAGAGAAACATGTTTAAGTAAAGAGTTAATCCCATTTGGAATGTTACCAATGTTTAAATTTACAACAACAGTACCTCATCAAATACCTGATTTTTTCTCTCTCTCTTTCTTTCTTTCTTTCTCTCTCTCTCTCTCTCTTCCTTTCAGTTATCGATTCTAGAGAACTCTACAGTTGAAAACTGAGTGGAGTGTCTAAAGACAATGAGAATTAAGGTATTGCCTTGAGGTGAGAGAAATGGTCTGCTTAGCACATCTATTTCTGAGGTAGAAATTTCTCCTTCTCCTTACTTCCAAAGTTTGAATTGCTTTTACAGTGTCTACTGGTGACTAGATAGGAACATAGATGGAATATGGTGCTGGCTTTCGGGTATTTGAATTCATCTGTTCATATGAGCTTTTCTAACTGCCTGATGTTCTCCTGCAGTATTGGGAGTAACAGTTTTTGTGGAATTTAGGGCACATTAATCATTGAGTTTCTATCACAAGTAGTTTAATAAAAACATCACTGATCTTGATCAAGATTAGCACTGACAAGCAGCAATGTATCCACAAAGAGCCATTCTGGAACATTCAAAGCATGAGTTTGGACTGACCTTCGGGTTGATATTGTGCTATGATTGTTACTGTCTGCCCAGCCCCCTTCAGCGCTGCAGCTGCCTGCTCATGAGATGCTCCTCGGAGATCGATGCCGTTCACCTAGAAGACAGAGCAGACTTTTAGGCACAGTATCTGTATTCTGAAAGAAGAAGAAACGTTTTTCAAAATTAATAAGCTATCTAAAATTATGCCACGTTCCTCAAAAAATTCTTCATTTCTTATTCAGGTGTTTCTTATTTCAGCAAGTTTCATAGTCATGATTACTTTTAGAAAGCAGGACCATGAAATTTCATCTTGTGTTTGTGGCACAGCCTGGCTAGGTTGGAAATATTTTGTCTATCTCTGTCCACAAGAGTTTCAGTATGTGTACTGCTATGTTCCCATGGGTTTCCCGGATTTCTAGGGCAGATTGGCTTTAAAACTAGAGGGGAAAATGATAATGGAGAGAGACACATGTAATGCCAACAGACAAGTATGTGCCGACAGATTCATATATTCAGATGACGTTCTGGGGAGACTGTATGGAATGGGCCTGGCTAGCTGCCAGATTCCTCTCTTTGGGTAAGTGCCTGATCCTGTCATATGGAGCTTGGTGAGACAGCCTTGAGCCCTGTTCCAAAATAAACCCAACTGCCCCACTTCTCATGAACAATTCCATAATGAATTCTGACAAAATGAAATAAAGAGTGCCTGGAGTTTATTTTGCTGTCACTAACTCCCACTTTGGAGCCCATATACTAGAAGAGAAGCAGAGCATCTATAAAACAAGCCCTGACCTCAGCCTGGAAGAATCAAATCACCAGCAAGTCAAGCCTAATAAGAAGCAAAAGCTAAAGTCTTTCTGCAATCAATAGTGTCAATAAGCCATCGGGATATAATTGCCAAGTGTGCTGTGTCTAGCTGAGAGGAGGGACAGTGGGCAAAGTGCAAAGCAGAACAAGAAGCTTTCCCAATGGTTTTCTAAGCAATGCAGATGGTACCCTCAGCCTGCTTTCCTCTTTTTTTACAGGGCAGGATGCTATGCCTAAGAGAAGACGTCAAAGTTGATCAGCTTATCTACATATTCAAAACATTCTCTTGGTTGGCTTTGGCAATCTTCTTTAACAACAATCCTTAGCAGTCAAACGCAGGCATGGTTTATTCCTTTGGTTCCCTAGCTGGCTTTCCTTATGTGTAATCTTCAAGATGATGGCATTGCTTTCTTATAACTCTGTTAAATTATCCTCATTGTTATCTATAGTTTCTTTTGCCTCTCCTCTGGTTTTCAATTCTGGTGAGCTTTCGTTTTCAAACATTGACCATATATTAATTTTGGGAAGTCCACTGTGCTAGGCTGCTGTGTCAGCCATTAGATAAATGAGTCATATCTTCTCTCAGAGGCTGTGTTCACTCATTTCAGAAGGAAAGAACAGTTAGGCCATTATGGTCTAAGGTGCCTGTGGTGGTAGGCACACATGCTTGGATTCTTGGTCTCCAGCTGGTGGCAATGTTGGAGGAAATTATGGAATGTTTAGGAGGCATAGTCTTGGTGGAAGAAGTACATCACTAGAGACACACAGCATTACAGACAGGCTTGGAGACTTTATAGCCTCAACCTTCCTGCTATCTCTGCTTCCTGTGTGTGGTTGAGATGTGATCTCTCAGCTTCTTGCTCCTGTCACCAGACATGTCTGGTAACATGCCATTATGAACTTTCTCTCCAGATCCATAAACCAAAGTAACCTTTTTAAAACCCTGTATAAGTTGCTTCAGGTCAAGGAGTTTTATCACAACAAATGAAAACTAACAACCTCTCTCCTTGAACTGAGAATAACAAAGCTCCTCAAGAATAAAGAATAAATCATTTTCAACACTGCCAAAGATGCTAATGGGCCAGAAGTAGGGTTATGGTAGCCAAAAGGTTCAGCAAAGGCAGATTTGTCTAGATGTTTGACGACAACAATCTCAACTGCACAATATCAGGTGTCAAATAATTTTAAATAGTTTCTTCTATTGTAAAACAATTAACTCTTATTAAAAAATGGACATTACTAAAGAAATATTTCCAAAAATTATAGAAGAAAAAAAGGTAAGCAAATTCCCACCATTTGTATTTCCACAGGTGGCCTCTTTTCTATAGTTTGCTCTGGAATTCACCTATGTACAGCAAGCGACTATATCTGAGTTTCTGTTGTTTTTGTTACATAAATATTTTATTACTTGTCTTTTAACTAATGAATTGAATATCATTTATAAATATAACTTACTTTGGTTATCATTTAACAATGTAAACTGGGCATCTTTCATACAACCTCACATCATTAGAGTTTTCAGTTGGAAGATTATCTTCCTTGCTGTGAATGCTCTGGAGTTACTCAGTGAGGTTGTCACTGATGTAGTGAAAATCAGTTCCATTTTCTCTAGTACATTTATGAATGCCTTTGGGAAGGATAAACGCTCTGGTCAGAGTCTTTGTAAGACAAAAGGTATATGACTTTTAAAATTTTGTAATTATGTAATTAAACATTATTGTTTATTTAACATATTTAAATGATTAAAGAAAAACATAAAGTCAATAATCTTATATATCAGATAACATGTTGATATAAAAAATGAAAGTTATACAGTTACATAATACCATGTATAAAAATTAAATCAGTATAAAAAACACAAAATAAATATTTTTCTACTGTTTATCTTAGGGGTGGAGAGATGACTCAATGGTTAAGACTGTTGCTCTTGAAAAGGACTCAAGTTTGGTTTCCAGATTTAGATGGCACACAATCACCTTTAACAATAGCTCCAAGGGATCAAATGCACATGTGTATACACACACACACACGCTCATGCACGCACACATGCACACACACACAAATATAAATAAAATATAATAATTTTGATGACTTCCTGTGTATACTACTCAGTACTTTGGCATGAATATAAACCAGCTTATAAATATATGATTAAATATTAAATATTTATTATTTAACATATCATTATAATAATAATATTTAATGATAATAGATAAATGAGGGTATGTTATGTACATTATTTCATATCTTCATTTTACTCAAAGAGCTTTCTGAGTTGATGTTATTGTTTTGAGACAGGTTCTCTCCATGTAGTTACTGGAACTCGCTATATAGCCCAGGCTGGCCTTAAATTCGTAGAAATTCTCCCGATTCATTTCACAAGTGCTCAGACTAAAGGAGTATGCCACTACAGCCAATCCCATGGAATGTTCTTAGTTACATATTACACATACACTTTGATCTAATTTATCTTAATGCTATATAGGATCCTAGGGTCTAGCATAAAACATTTTATGTCACTAGTTCACAGATTATGAACACACTGGTTCTTTAATACTTTGCAATTATAAAGAATTCAGTAATAAATGCCAACTAATGGTAAGTTGAATAAAGGCAATTTTAATAGTCACTGTCAAATTACTTCTAAAAATGGAGCATTCATTTATATTCCTACTAATAACATGATTTTGTATTTTTATACTAATTATTTGCACATACCACATTTGACTTTTTCTATTTTGATAAGTAAACAATTATATTTTTAATTACATTTTTTCAGTTATGAAGGTAAGTATCTTTTATGCTAATTGACTATTTTAATTTATTTTTACATAAAATGTATGATCCACTATTTTTTCTGACTTTTTTGTTTAGTTTGTTCTTTTAAAAGTTTTATCTGTATTTAAAAAAAATTAATATTCCCCTTTAAAAACATGTTTTATGAAGTAATCTCAGGCAGGAACCTAAATATTAGGCTAGAACAAAGAAGTAATTTCAGACAGGAATCTAAATTTTAGGCTAGAACAAGGAAGTAGGCTTCAGACATGAGAATGACCTTGGGCTAGGACAGGGAAGTAGGCTCAGATACTTTGGTCATCCTGATAAACCTTTAGAAACAGTGATCACGGGAGTGTTCACATAATTGGGTTTAATGCCTTGCTTTTTCTTTGACTATTTGTGTTTATTGTCTTACTTGTTCCTTGACTATTTGCATCTACTGTATTGCTTGATCCTCAACCTAGAACTGACCTTAATACATGCATGTAATCAAAATGGTATAAAAGCATAAAGGAAGAGGGGGTATAGGATAGGGGGTTCTAGGGAGGGGAAATGGGGAAAGGGGATGACATCTGTATTGTAAATAAATAAAACATCCAATAAAAGAAGAATTAGTGTTAGACTATAAAAACATGTTTTACATTATGGAACATCATATTTTATATTATTATGCTATCTCTTGTCATAGACAATTGTAAAATGCTTTGTATAGTCATAGTTATTTTCCTTCATTTTCAAAAAGCTTTAGACTTTTCTACTGTGCTTTTTATTCCAACTGATCTAATAACTTTCTCTTATTTTGCTGTAATGTTAATGTAGCTTTGATTTGGCTATTCAAACTCATAAGAACCCATGTCCCTGGTCTTGAATCGAGTCACAGCTGTCAAACAGTTTAAAGTTATCCATTTAAATGAGGGAGGAAGACAAGGTATTCCGGGATACAGAGTTGGTACCAGGGAGGCATTTGATAATTTTTTTTTTTTCAGAAAATGCCAGTGAGAAAATATCTGAATGAGTTATCCAGATGAGGATGGATCGACAGCAGTTTCCCTAGAAGGATACAGAAAACAAGTTTTATCAGCAATAAGCAGTAATAAAATCAAGGAATGACTTTTGTAGAATACTACTATCTTGGAATGAGTGTAGCTTCAACCTACAGATTTGACAGAATTATTAATTACAAAAAAATACAAAGGGGTGGCCTGGTGGGAAAAGTTTATAGAACTGGTGCCAGGTTTCAATTAAAACAGTCAGAGAAAGGCACAAAGGCATCTACAGCAAATTATTTCACAGTTAGGGGTCTGGGGAGAATATGTCAGTGAGGCAGCAGAGAAGAAACTGGGGCAGAATCCAAAGTAGCTATCTTTTCTTGTTTTCAGAAAGACTATGGATAGTAAGGTGCACAGATGCAGGCCCAGCACTTTAAGAAAATGTAGAAGGATCTTCTTGTCTTTTCTCTACAATGGAGAAATGACTTCGATGTTCTGAAGTGATGGAATGGAGTGAGCAGACATGCACGACTTTGCCATA